ACTCTAAAAACAAAATAATCTTTTCTAATTTAATGAAAATTTGTTATTTTTTATTGTTTTCTGTGCATGAGTTATACGCAATTCATTTGTTAATATTTATTGTAACAATAAGAATTTCAACAAGTACGATTTCCAAGAACCAGCTGCAGGGGGCCACCCATCACGTAACGGGTATGCTACAGCATGGCAGCGTGACTTGCCTATGCACAACATGGCTCCCAAGGTATACAGATGTGTGAGTTACATATGCTTCATGAGGCCCTGGGCTCAAAACTAGTGTGAGTTAAATACAACTCACATGGCAGTTAATGTGTTGAACATAATTTTATAATTGGTGCAATATTGAGTACTGAATGGGAGAGGATTTCCAGATCTTTTATGAGCTATTGTAAGAGGCCCATAAACAATGAGTGATAGCATTTTCTGTATCTGCTACCTAGTGGTTTTTGAAACCTTTTTTGGAGAGTCCAAAGAAATGGACAAATCTGTAATGACTTAGTAGTTACTTTGGTTTACTGCTAGATGTATAAGGAACACTTTAAATGTGTTTGTCTTTATTACTATTATTTAATGTTTCTTAACTGAAAATGTAAAGGTGGAGGTGGGAAGGTGATGAAGAGGTAATTCAGATTTGTGTTTTCTTTTAAGAGATTTCCATTCTCAGTATAGTTGACACTTGTAATTTCAGTTAAAGATTGGTACCTGGCCGGAAATGCCTGTGAAATAGCTGTGATTTAAGCTTTAACTATAAAAGACAGGGACAGGTGGGTAATTTTAACAAAAGTGTTGTCTTTATTCATACTTTTTGTTGTTTATAACTGAGATATATATAGTTTATCATTTCTAAACCTTTGGCCTGTGGTGGGCCACAGTGACCTGAGGCATAGAATTCATTGGCCTAAATTGCATAATATTTGGTATAACAGAATAATTTTCAATACTATAATATTGCATAATAAGTCTGATGCCACTATTGAGGAGATTAAAAGAATATATAGAGTAGTGGGGGGAAAACCTTATACATGCACAGGACAGGGAAGGCTTCAGGTAAATCAATAGAATTTTTGACTACAAACATCACTGCATTATATTATATGGAAGTGTGAGCTTGGAGTTTATATTTAAGTTCATTTATAAATATGTAGTATATAAAAGAGTGAGCTGAGGAGACAATAAGAATTGTATTCCTGTAGAAATGAACTAGTTTTAAAACAAGAAAAATATTTTAATAAAACCTATGTTGTAAAGTGGAAATTGGAATACAGTACAAATTGCTGGGGAAAGGGAGGAAGCCAGTGGAAGATTTAGTGCAAGAGTGGATATTAGAACTCTTAGTTTCTGACCTGGACTTGTTTTGGCTTTCAGAGGTCACGCTGACTCTTAGATTAGAAATGCAGTGTCTTTCAAAACATAAATATAATTGAAAGTAATAATTTTAAAATTTGTTTTCTCAGGTTTCTCCTTTTTTTTTTTCAGGTATAAAGGCATGAGTATTCTGTTTTCAGGAGAATGAGGAAAACTTTATATTTCTTTTGCTAGCAGTTTGGCTATTTTTGTTGTCATTCTTACTCCATAAATGGAGAGGCATCTGTACCCATACATTGTATCATGCCTAGAATTTTTTTTTTCATTTGAATGTTAATTGTTCTTTAGCAAATAATTGCAGTCCAGAATGACGTTTATTGAGCTTGATTGAATTAAGGGTATGTATGAAAATGAGTTAGTTAAAGCTTAATCTATTATCCAGGGAATTGATGAAAACATCAGAAAAGCAGTCATTCATGGGGATTAAATATTCTTCCATGTAAGTGGGCAACATGGTTACCTTGGAGTCCCTTCTGCACTGACTATGTACTAGTGACATCAGATTGCAAAACACATGATTCTGGCGTAGAAAGGGATTTTTTCCATCATGTGCCTTTGAATGCTATACTGGACATTAATATTAATACTAATTGGGAGTCTGCCTGATTGTCAGAAGTGGCACCTCATTTTTTTAGTGTAATGTAAGCATTTCAAAACATAGCACCTCAAGGGGCAATGTGTGAGTTGTGCCAGAAAGCGGTTGCTATGGGATGTTTGAATGGTTGCTTAGGCCACATCTTTAACATAGGTTTTTCAGGTGCCAAGTCAGATGCCCTATTTGTGGTTAGAAGCAAATAATAAGTATTTAATAGATGGCTGTTCACCTGCCATGATGAAGTTTTTCAGAGCGAATTCTGAGCTGTGCCAGATCAGTGCTGGCTAGGACTGTGGGAGGCAGCGTCCTGGGTGGGAAGCCCAGGCCTTGACAAGGGAAAAAACAAGTGCTTATTGAGGCAGTGGGAACTAAGCATGGGCAGTCAGGAATCAAGGCTTGGGGGTGTGTGTGAGAGTGGGGCTTAAGAGGAAGCCATAGTGGGACCCAGGGAACACAGACAGACACTGGGTGGCTCATATGAAAATCTGCCCCAGCTGTGGTCTAAGGGCACATTAAAGTCTTCCCTCTGCAGGGTTGTAATCACACTTTGGGCATTTCCCCTGCTGGCCCACCTACCTTTCTGACACCTCACATAGCCAGCCATTTCCATCAAGTCAAAACACTTTCTGAAGTACTTGTGATCTAGATGGAGAACAGTTTATGCTGAAACTGCTTTTCTGAAGCTACTCATGTGGCCATTTGTAATAACCAGATAAAATCTGGTCTCTGACTTTTAACTCAAATCCATCTCAAGCAGGACCTTCAGCCTAGAAATTGACCTCTGCTCTGTCACTGATTCCCTGGCTTCTTAAGTCTACTATGATTTCTTTGTCATCTTAAGAGAGTTTTAAAACCCATATTGGCCACAGTGTAGCCAATCTCCTTTCTCACCCTCCCCTGCTTTATCCATAGATGGTTGCATCACAGGTAATAAGTTAAGGAACAGTAATGAAAATGAAGTGTAATTATGGTGATTTTTGAGTATATATCCAATTATAGAAACAAATCTCTAAGGTTACTTGAAGATTAGTAAGAGTTTATCTTTAAGCTCCTGGAGGAACTTCTGTATATGGGATATAATAGAATATTTTATTTCTCAGATAGCTTGGGCTCACTTCTTAAAGATAAACAAATCTTTAAACCAAATTAAAAATTAAATGCATACCATCAAAATTAATGGTAGATCTTCCTTTCCCAATTTTGGCAGTACAAATTATATTAATTTATTTACTTGGCATTTTTATTTATAGTTATTTACATCATGATTTTCACTCATTTATTTTACAACATTTTAATGATTCTGTATACTTTTATGGATTTATGTGAAGAAAAAATATGTAAATATGAGATAGTATATGAGATTTTCTTTTTTTTTTTTTGGGGGGGGGACAGAGTCTCACTCTCTTGCTTGGGCTAGAGTGCCGTGGTGTCAGCCTAGTTTGCAGCAACCTCAAACTTCTGGGCTCAAGCAATCCTCCTGCCTCAGCCTCCCTGGTAGCTGGGACTACAGGCATGTGCCACTGTGCCCAGCTAATTTTTTCTATTTTTAGTTGTTTGGCTAATTTCTTTCTATTTATAGTAGAGATGGGGTCTTGCTCTTGCTCAGGCTGGTCTCGAACTCATGAGCTCAAGCAATCCTCCTGCCTTGGCCTCCCAGAGTGCTGGGATTACAGGCATGAGCCACCGTGCCAGGCCGAGATTTTCTTAAAAGAATATTTTTAATATTAGTTGCCTATATTATGATAATTAAGAACAGACTTTTATACTATTTATTTTACATCAGTATTTGGAATTGCATGCTTCCTTCATAAAATGGAGTGAATGCGTAGGCATTTAATTTAAAAGTATTTATATGTGTTCTTTGTAGTTTGCTTCAAAGATCTGCATTTACTCTTTGATCCATATCCTTGTTTTCAAAAATACGGATGAATGAGTAGTATCTTGTGTGAAGCCACATGAGACCATTTAATATTTTATTCATTCTTTCCAGCTTTTGTTTTCATTAATAGCACTGGGTGACAACTGAATCATCTAATTCTAGATAGGATTACTCAGATGAATCATTACACATTTTTGATATTTAATGTGAAGAGCCAGTTCTTCCATATCAAGGGCTGATTAGAAAAAAAAAACTTCAGCCAAGCCGTAAAATTACTGATAGCATTGATAGAGCCATAAGCCAATAAGTGATATCCAGTTTCTACAGTGTATGTAGCTTACAGATTGTAAAGAAATATATTGTCATAATCTGCTGGGGGCAGGAAATTGTCTCTCTTAGTTGAGTGTGCACTTAGTTTTACCACTGAAGCAACCTAGAAACTTAATATATCTCACAAAGAAAATGAAATAGCTTTTTAATTCTTAAAAATGATGTGATTTAATCAGAATATATCTATATTTGCAGTGTTATTAATGTGAAATGTTCCATTAATTTGTGCCTACACCCTTTTGCTGCTTTTGATCTTTTCTTATATTTACTTCATGCCTTGTTAGAAAATAATTTTTTGTTACCTCCTCACCCCAAGCTGCTTTCTTGTTTGTTCTTTTCTATTATCCTGCTTCATTCATTATCTTCTAAACATTTAAAAGATAAATCATAAGATATTAATATCTGAATCATAGTTTATCTAGTTGAATCAGGCCATTTAAAATAACTTGAGTCATTTAAAATAACTTGAGTTTAGTCAGGATATCAGTTTAACCCCATGTTTTCACCTGGGATTTGCTTGTAATTCCGCACTTGATTTTAGCCAAAAGGCGAAGAAGTCATTTCCTGTAGTTAATTCTTAGTCTATGATCCTTAGTCTCAGAATCCCTGTTGAATAATTTTAGAGGCTATCTTTTTGTTAAAATAAAGTTGACAATACATGCCTAAGGGCCACTTTCTCTAAATAGTATTAGCATAGGGATGTTTGCCTGATTTTGATTGTTTGGCTGTTAATTCATTTTATTCAGGGGTTATTTTGCTAAAGGAGAATGTTAGCCTTGTTTGAAAGGCCTACCTGACTCACCAATTTAACTGCTTTTCTATGGGTCTTTCACAGAATCCTGCTACATCACAGAAGCTGGAAGTTCTGATGTTCCATTGAACTCACAATGGAAAGTCTTGATTTGATTGGTAAGAGCTGCACTGAAGGTGCATCTTACTTACTTACCTTGGAAGCAGTGGGATAGTCAAGAACTATGTGGTATCCAAGCTAGTCTCAACTTTTTCCCATCTAATGGATTCACCTTCCATATTGATCAAGGAAGTGTGACCATAATATATTTTTTCTTGTCAATTTTATAATTTTTTTAAAGTGACATGTTAATCTCCATTATCAAGTAAGTTAAATTTTCTTTTAAAATCATGAATTTTAAAAAATTAACTGTTTTAATATCTCTGATTTGTTTCTCCACAGTAGTATGTCATTGGGAAACATCTGTTGCAAGTCCTAGATACTTAGAGGTTGCGTAATATACCTAAATAAATATGAAATTGTTCTATTCCCCAAAAGCTATTTTTTATATTTCTGTTGGCTTTAATTGAAAAACAAATCAGTATCAAAGCATTATGAAATCTTTCTTACCTTTTAAAAATAATAGAGATGTGTGTAACCGCATTGTGAAATCACTTTAAATATGAAAATCACACAATGAAGAAAAAGTTGAGATTTTAAAAAATATATATATATATATATGACAAATTAATATCAAACTCCGAAACTCACAGATACTGTGACTCTTCTTTTGTGTGGAAGTTATTTTCAAGGCTGTTCTTTTAGAAATTTTTAAAAAACTTTTAAAATATGGCAATAACATTTTAAAATTAGTTTTAATAATGGTTACTTAAATGTGTAGAATTTCCCAATCTGAGAATCATAAGACTGAGAAATTTGGTGTGAATTAAAATTGAGCAAATATGGTACATATTATTCAGTTGCAATTTTCAGGAAAGGAACTTATTCTTTAATTGTACTTTCAATTAAAAATTGAAAGTAAAATTTTAGAAAGAAAAATTTTACTTCTCAGATTAAAAATTAATCTGAAATCTTTCCTGTTTTAAAGTGTGTTTCTTATCTTATTAAATCTGTATAGAATATCTACATCTACATTCTTCTTTTAGTTAATATATGACTGAACGTGGCTTTTATGATGTGAGCATAAATATAAGGCCTCTAAACCATTCTCCTGAATGTCATTGTTAAGAATTGTACACATAGTAAAATGTATGCAATTTACTTGAATGTGTATTTACTATAAGATATTTAAACATCAAGAAAGTCTTAATGCCAATGAGAAGATTGGGATTTAGTTATCGTTTTTACTCTTCGCTGTGCTGCTCTTTAAGGTGTATTTGTTACAAATATAAATTCTGGATTTAAGAATGCCGGTCAGAGTACAGTTAATTATGGTTTTACTGAGTCAGCAGAATAGACTATGGAATATTCAAAAATCGATACTGAAATTTCAAATATGTTCTCAATTGCTAATTGAGAGTTAATTATTGTGAGGTTTAAAGATAATTAAGTTTGTGGCAGTATTCTGAATTTGCTACATATGAATACATATATATAGAAAGTAAAGCAGGATACTTTATCTGACCTGTTCAAAAAAATTAATTCTTGAACCAGCATTAGTATGTCAGTCTTCACTAAGTAGCCATCTGATCTATGATTTCTGAGTGCTAATCAGATTATTGCAGGAAAATATATTTTGACTATAGGCAGAAATGGACAGAAATTAAAATGGATGATAGAATTTAAGATGAAAGCTTAATTGAAGATGGTTGAGACTACATAATTCTGGCTTACATACATACTCATCTTGAATATAGTATTAACTAAGAGATAGAAAAGTTGCCCTACAAAACCAGAAGTAATTTAGGAAACAAATCCTGGAAGATGTTACTTGGCAAAAGGATACCAGGGTTCAATAAATCTGGGAAATGTATCAGTTAGCTTAGGCAAAGTTACATTTCAGTATCAAGAGAGTCCCCAAATCTTAGTGGTTTATGGCAATTAAAGTTTATTTCTCATTTATGTTCATGTCCCTGATGAGTCTGATGCTACTCTATTCCATGTCCTCTTCATTCCTGGACCAAAGCTGAAGGAGCAAGCTTTCTGGGATGTACAAGTCTTATGGCAGAAGGAGAAAGGAGTGATGGAACCGTGGCTGTTGACATGGCTGCTTGGAAGTAGCACATGTCACTACCGCTCATATTTCATTGGCCAAAGCATGTCACACAGTCAAGCCTATGTCATGGGCGGGGGGCCTTGTAAGAGGAGCAGGGTAGGGAAAGTTCGATAGGGAGGGACAGTGCATATTTTAACTACAATATTTGCAAAATACCATCTGTAGCTTTTTTACAGAGTCAGAGTGCACATAATATATTAAAGATTCCAGGAAGTTCTGCAGTGAATGAATCTGTTTAACATATAAAATTATTTGACCATGAATCCTTTTGTTGTTATATGGAACACTGTATGTGACAAGTTTTAAGGAATGAGGAATTGATAGAATTCAAGACTTTCTTGATGTTTTGAACCTTAGAACTTTTCTAACATTTAGGAAGTTTCTAATATAGATTACAGATTTACATTATTGTTTTGGAAGTAGAAGTAGTTTTTAAACGAATTAAAATTACTGCAGACTGGACCCTCTGCAATTTGCATACAGAGTAACAAAGGGAAATATGATACTCATAATAATTTCTTACCTATGTACAATAGGTTACAGAGCTGTGACAGATATTATTTAATTTGATATAGGAAGAGAATAAGGAAATGGGTGCTTTGCTTATTCCAGTAGTAATATGATAATTTTACTGGATATAATGGTAGCCAAATCCCTTTGTCTACTTAAGTTTAATTTCAAGAATCATTCTAGAGATAATGAATGCAGACACTGTAGGGAGCTTAACAATTGTATTCCAGGAGTTTTCTGAGATACTCCACCTAAGGTCATATTCACCATGCTGTGATTTTTGCATTATTGTCTCCTAAGTCTTCTAGAAAATTGCTGGCACCTGGAACTCCTCAGCCAATATTAATTTGATTAATCTCACAAGTATTAAAAAAACATTGCTACCAGACCTGAGTGGATTAAGATTATATAGAGATCTAGAAGTATATAAACAATGCTTTGATAGTTTATAGTTCCTTAAGACTGGGGGAAAGGAACATGCTTAGACATCTCTGTTTTTTTTTTTTTTTTTTTTTTTTAAATACGTAATGTAAGGTTAGAAGGCAAAACAGTATGGCAAAGCCTGGGTTTTGGATTCAGAGAAATCCTAGTTTGAGCAGTTGTTTTTTTTGTTTGTTTGTTGGTTGGTTTTCCTTTTTTTTTGGAGACAGGGTCTCACTCTGTTGCTTGGACTAGAGTGCAGTAGCTTCAACATAACTCACTGCAACCTCAAACTCCTGGGCTTAAGGGATCCTCCTGCCTCAGCCTCTCAAATAGCACACCTAGCTAAGATTTTGTTGTTTTTTAAAATTTTTTGTAGAGACGGGGTCTCACTATTGCCCAGGCTAGCCTTGAACTTCTGGGCTCAACTGATTCCCTGGCCTCAGCCTCCCAAACTGCTAGGATTATAGGCATAAGGCACCACACCCAGCTGACACTTTTTAAATGAAAGAATTTGGGTGATTATTTGACCTCTCTGAAACTTTGTTTTATCATTTTAGTATGAGGATAATGATCTCTACCTTTTAGGAGTGTAAGAATTAAATAAAGTAATTCTGTCAAGTGCTTGATATAGTGTCTGGCACATAGCACTTAAGAAATGGTATTTAAAAAAAGAAAAAGAAAAATGTGATAAAAGTTCAAGAATCTTTGGTACCCTATAAAATACCTCTGATTGACATCTGACAGTGTATATGCATCTAAAATGTGTTTATGTATTTATATGTAAACACACGTACACACCCCCAAGGGTTTAAAAAAAAAAAATTGTCCTAAATGCATAAGAACCTATGCATTCTTCTGTAGTTCTATGGGAAATTGAAAGTGGCTTTATCATTACCACTGAGAGAAAGGGTGATTCCTGTAGAAATGTTAGCTACTCCATGATCCAGTAATTCACTTCTTGCCGCTGAGAATTTAGAAGTGCCAAGGCCGGAGTGATGACCAAGAGTGGATATAGTGTATGGCCTTCACTCTGAATAGTAAATGAGATCAGTCGGCATCAAGTTGCAAGAAAATAAAATCTTAAATAATCTTGAGGGAAGGTACAAGAACAGGAGATAGTATCACTGAAATTTTCTTCACCCAGTGGAGCAAATGCTATTTGGTTTCAGAAGGAGTGGGCATTTTTATTTCAAGATCTTTATGTGACTGTTCTCCAATGAAGGTTTAAACAATTTAGATTCCTTAGAGAGTTTCTCTATTGACATTGTCCCCTGGTACTCTCAGAATCAAGTACAACATAGTAATATCTTTTATAATTCAAAGCCTAATGCTGTTTTCTAAAATGACTTTCATTTGTTTAACTTAAAATAGCACAGGTATATAAAAATTATTTTGGGGAGGTGAATTATCAAATTGTTCCAAGCTCTTCTCTTTTCAATGGCTTTTACTTACTCATTCGGATGGATTGTTGGTAGAGCAAAACTACCTCAAAAATCTTTAGGGGTTGTATTACTCTTCTTGGGCTGCCATAACAAAATACCACAAACTGGGTGGCTTAAGCCGAACATTTATTTTTAAGTTCCTAGTTCTGGAGGCTAGAAATCCATGATTAAGGTGCTGGCAAATTTGGTTTCTGGTGAGAGCTCTCTCCCTGGCTTGTACATAGCTGTCTTCTTGCTGTGTCCTCACATGGCTTTTCCTCTGTGTGTGCAGAGAGCGAGCAAGCTCTGGTGCTCTTCCTCATAAGTACACCAGTTCTGTGGGATTTGGGCCCCACCCGTGTGACTGCTCTTAAACTTTATTACCTCTTCACAGGCCCTATCGTGTTACAGTAGGGGTTGGGCCTTCAACATATGAATTTTGGGCAAACACTATTCTGTTAATAACAGAAGTAGTTTTTCTACATCAAACGGTGAAGCGAAAGTGTTAAAAAATACTTTCTATGTTACGTAATCTATAATCAGGAAATCTGGTTTATTGTCTTCTAAGATTCTAAAAATATCTTTGATA